GCTGGAAATATATGTGATATCCTACTGTTAATTTAATGGCTTTATTGTATATTTACAGTATACAATAAATTTATATTTTATTTATATTTTGATTTGACTTTTTTGTATCCTACCTAGAGCCACAAAGATGGGATCAGTCTATAAATGTTTTAATAAATATAATAATAGCAATAACAAATAATTGCCACATGAGGCTTGAAGCTATATACAGTCCTTTATATGCAACCAAAATTGGGATTTTGTCATTAAGCAAAGCAGTCACAAACTGAAACCATGTCTCTGTGTTTAATATCTTACTGTAGCTTTCCTTTGCTTTACAGACCTGTGAAGGTGAAAAATGCACACCCTGGTCACAAAGTTACTTTTTCATCACCATTGTAACTCTGAACTGTCTTTGTATAAGGCAGTTATTAAATGAGAACTACCTTTAGAAGCCTTATATATTAGGAATTCAGACTAAAGCACACATCATCTATTACTTACTTGAGCAATGCTTGATTTATATTTTCTGTGGAGGCAAAAATTACCAGTAAAGAATAATGGCAACAATTAAACATTATTTAGCAAGACCTGGCCTTGCCTTGCCATAATTTGTTTCTGATTCTTTAATCCATCATGGGTTCATAATAACAGATGCTTAACATTTTCCTGGGTGTTAGTGAAACTAGACTCTTCCATAACTTTGAGTAGGAGTATTATTATTGTAATGTCACAATACAATACGCCAAAGATATTCTCATTCCAAGCCATTATCTTATTTATGAGGTCATTAATGGTTAAAAATAAAAGGTAACACCTTCCATTCTAAATGTATACATGTACCTTTGTCCAAGTCTTTATTCCATTATATCTTAATGGGACAACAAGTTTCTCTGAGAGCACCCTTCTTCAGCATGATTCCTTTTAGAGTTATTTGAGTTCCAGCTTCCATAGTTTATAGTCAGCATCATTAGTTAAAATGATAATCCAGCTAAACTGGGTTGGAATGATTGGAACTGAAATCCCATACAGTTGGAGACCATCAGGTTGTGCTAGAGGAGGCGACTCCAAACTCGGCAGCTTTAAGATCTGTGGACTTCAATTTCCAGAAAGCCAACTGTGCTAGCTGAGGAATTCTGGAAGTTGAAGTCCACAAGTCTTAAAGCTGCCAGGTTTGGAGTCCCAGTGTTAGAAGACTTTAGGAATGAAGCAGAGCAACTGCACCCAAATCTTGACTTTAAAAGGCTGCTAAGGATAAAATACTGAGTCTATAAGCCAGCCTACATGGCAGTGAGAATAGGACAAAATCACCTGGGTTCAAATTTCCGAAATAAAAGTCACAGAGTGACTTTGGTGCATCCATGGCTTTTCAGCTTAGTCAGTTCCACAGGCCAATGAATGGAAGACTCCTCAAGCCAATATAAATTCATCTCAGGAAGGTAGAAACTCAAAAGTTATGAGTAGAAAGCATAGACTGAATAAAAACGTTTAAGTAGGCCTCAAGTAGGCCTCATGTTCTCAAGTGGAGGAAGAGTACCCCAAGAGTGAGCACTGTACCCACTCCTCATGCGATGGCTCACCTCACTCAAAATGGCTCAAAATGGCTGTGCAATCATGCTGTGTCACTTCCCTGTGTACTCCATTATTCATTTCTCCACATCTCCTGCAATGCTCCATAGGATATCAGAAACACAACTCTCCTTACAGAGATTCTCTTTCAGTCTTTCTTCTGCGCCATTTCTCCAACTTTCATCTCTTCAGATCCTCTCACTGAAGTGTACCACTGCTTCTCCGCATACCGGAATGAATGGATACACCACAGACTATCATAGATCAATGCTAAATAATTGAGGGATGTTCCCATGACTATTTAATGAAAGGTGTTTTGTTTCCAGAGGCAAGAATATATCACTTAGTGGGGCAGGAAATATTTCATTCAGTATTTTGGCTAAAATGAGAAGATGTGGCTCCTTGACAGACTATAATACAAAGAAATGGAAATAGTTGAATAGAAACACCTAACTTGTTTTCACAGTTAAAGCACTGATATCTTATGATTCGTGCAAAATTTTTTAAAAAGCAGCAAGAAAGCTCTTGGTCTGTTCCTTATTAATCAAGGTACAAAATAGAAAATCATAAATTGCAATAAGGTAACCAATCTGCTTTCCGCATCTGTCCCTACGGTGTACAATCCATGGCAGTATCAATTTGGATGCTGGCATCCACTGTAAGCAGCAGAGAAATGGAAGGAGGTTAAAGAATGGCAGCTGACATCATAATGTGATGGCACTAAAAATAAAAAAGGATGAAAATCTCACTGCTAAATGATCAAAAAGAGCCTAGTATCAAGGAATCAAGATTCCTTGTATTATATTTAAGAGGAAATATTCCAAACATTGTACAAAACAAAGTGCTGCTCCAAAATAGATTATGATGTATTTATAAATGTGACTGTCCCATTCAAAGTAAATGTTCAGCAACCATTGCTTATGACTCTTTCCAACATCTCACTTGAGTCTGAATTCACTGTGAAACACTAAAAGCTCTGTGTACTTATATCACCCAAACAGATGATCTCATTAGTCTACATCACTTTGTCAGTCCTAGACTGGGTCAAATAAGTAACAGTACAGATAGGATAAACAATCTGGTTCCATTTGAGACCAGTGGCACATTCTAGTAATGTTCCGCAAAGCTACATACATTTAAACACCAATATCTTTTAAAAGTCCTCCATATGTATTCTGATTTACACCAACAACTTTGCATAAACAATGCCCCTCAATCCATTCTTCCTCCTCATTTGCTACCATATCCCAAATAAAGTGCAGCGGTGTAATGTCTCATCTCAAAGTCACATTCTGCAGCTTCATTGATGACTATCAAGCCAACCAAGAAAGATATTCAATTCTTTACTTCATTAGGTATCCTCATGAGGGTACTTTTAAAGGACAGGTAAAGACAGACAAACACATCCATGCAGATTTCATGGAATTCTATGGGGGTTGTTTGGCCACCTAGCTGTTTAAAAGTGTGCAACTGTGACTAGATGAACAGGTACAATGTGCCTTTCGCATATAGCCATGCTAGTCACGTGACCACATAAATGGTCTTTGGACAACACTGGCTCCCTTGGCCAAGAAATGAAGATGAGCACTTAGAGTCAGATACTCTAACTGACAGGGAAATATTTACCTTTTTTTCACCTTTAGTTTACCATTGCCCTCTTCCAGAACATCCCTATTTCCCAATCTTACTCACAGCCATGGAATTCTCTCATGGAGTTCCGATCCAAATATTCACCAGGCTCAATTCTGCTTAACAAATTCAGTGTTGGCCTTTCCAGGTAGACCAGACAGGGAAAACGACCAGATCAGATCATTCTATTTTATCTTGCAGTAGTATAATCTTGCAAGTCTAATCGTACAAATCTCTCACTGCCTCTTTTACAGCCTGATAAGTTCGGGAAGGTTCCTTTCTGAGTTTCTTTCTCTTCCTGTTATGCAGCTGTGGGCCAAGCCTCTCTTATCTGATTATTCCATAGAACGATAGAAATGGTAGAAATTCTTGAGAAATTGACTGTCCCATGAATAACTCAAGGATATGAAGGGCTTTATAGGTGACCACCAGCACCTTGAATTCCATCTGGAACCACACTAGGAGCAGGTGCAGCATGTGGAATAGTGGAATATACTAAGGTGCATCCATAAATTCCCCTGCCACCGTGTTTTGGACTCTCTGGATGTTCTCCAAGGGCAGCCCCATGTAAAGTAGATTGCAGCAATTCATTTGGTAGTTGACTAAGGCATGAGCCCCTCAGTCCACAAAAGGGCACAATTGGCATACAAGATTAAGCTGGCAAAAGTCCTGCCAATTACAGCTACCACTTGCTCGTCCAACATGAGCCACAAAAACAAACAAACAAACAAATCTGGAAAAGATGGTCCTTTATTAGAGAATCAGCAGGACTCAAATTCCCCAAAGGGCCTGCCTTCAACCCTTAAGCCATGTCCTCTAGCTCAGGGGTCTCCAATCTTTTGGACTTCAGGGACCACCAAACTGTGGTGTAAAATCCTGTGGACCAGAGACCCTGGGAAAATCCAAAAAAAAAAAGTCTGCAGGAAAATTCTCCACCCCCGTTTTCCTACCGATCGATCATTTTTTATTTGGGATACCGTCTCCAGCTCCGTTCTCAGGGGTAGAGAGAGAGAGACTTTTGGCTTCGTGCAAGGAAAGCAGCAGAAGCAGCAGAAGTTTTTCTTTCTCTCCCCCAAACTCTGCCAGAAATGAGTCTTTGTGAGACTTGTCATGCTGGCGCAGCCTCTTGGAGCAGGATGCCTTGCAGGGTCCCAAAGACTCATTTCTGGCAGAGTTTGGGGAAGAGAAAGAAAGACTTTTGCTGCTTTCCTTGTGTTTAGCCAAAAGCAGAAGAAGAAAGAAGCAGGAAGAAGCAACCTGGTAGCCAGGCCAGGCACGTGGGGCAAGTCCCCGACCGGCCTTTCTCCCCTCTCCCCTCCCCTCACTACCTTGTGTTGTTCGCAATGCAAGCCTTGTATTTCCATGGGCCATGTGGGCGGCACAGCCTTGTGTTCCTGGTGCAGCCTGGATTAATTGCTTTGGGGGGTGCTTTGGGGGTTACATTTCTCTGTGGACCACCAAAATTTTCTCGCAGACCACAGTGGTCCCCAGCCCAGTGGTTGGCAACCACTGGTCTAGATTTCTCTCCCAAAATCTCAGTTGTATAAATGCCATTAGCTCTTTTGCTCAGAAGCATGAAAAATGTTCGCCACACAAGCTTAGCGGCATTGTCATACAGCAATTAATTCACAACATGGCAGCTTCAAAGAGCAAACCCTTAAGAAGCTGTGATTAAATTGGATAATCAACTTATTTTTTCATGACAAGCTGAGACTAAACAACACAGAAAGAAAGAAAGAAAGAAAGAAAGAAAGAAAGAAAGAAAGAAAGAAAGAAAGAAAGAAAGAAAGAAAGAAAGAAAGAAAGAAAGCTTTTATCTTTCACCCTCTTGTGGCTGCCCTCTTCTCTCTGTGTCCTACTACAGAGTTCAGAAAAGAGGTCCAAGTGTGTGCTTGGCTGCCTGTGGCCCAGAATGCAGCCTTGTCTGCCTTCCAGGCGGCAGGTGCACTCAAGCTGGACTTGCAGGGATCTGGTTACAGCTTTTCCTCTGCCCAGGTATTTACCCTGCTCCCGATGGCAAAAAAGGGTTTAAAAGTTTTTTTTCCCTCCCCTTCCAGGTATAAGTCGGATGTGTGGCCAGTCTTTCTTTCTCCGAACACCAAGGAAGGAGCTTGTAAAAATTGTGTGTGTGCGCGCGCGCACCCACACCCTTTGCTGGACGCGCTTCGCCAACCTTCTCTCTGCACGCGCTCCTGGGAAACTCTCTTTTCATAGTAAACTCAGTAACTCGCGGCACGTCTCCTTCCCCATCTGCCTTCAGGATCTGAAATGTCCTAGGTTGGACCCACCTTTTCTGTTGCAACAGGTTGGTTTCGTCAAGTTTTCTGGCCCAGGATTTCTCTCCGCGTATTCTGCGGAGGAGCGCAGCCCAGAGCCTAGGGAAAAAGCCGCGGTTTCCGGGCAGCAGCAGCATCCCCATCGCTGGGCTGGCTCAGTCTCAGCAGCGCATCCCTGAAGGGACGGTTCTGGTCGTCGTCGTCTTTTTCCTCCTCCTCCTCCTCCTCCTCTTTCTCTCCTTGATCCTCGTCCTCCTCCCCTCTGCCCGGCTGCTGGAGGCCAGCTCCAGTCTGGTCTGGAGACGGATGAGTCTGCAGCCGACAGAGTCCGAAGCGGGGTGGCGATGGCGGTTGCAACATCTGGCTGCTGAGCGAGGCAGGTACCTGGCAGAGTCCCAGGAACAGGATCCGAGGGACAACCTTCGGGGGAGGAACCGAGAGGAGGAGGAGAAGGAGAAAGGCAGGCGGATCCACCTCAGCGCGACAGAAGTGTTGTTTGTTTGTTTGTTTGTTGGCACTTAAAGAGACCAGGAAAGAGTTTTAGGACGAAAGTATTTTTTTAAGGTGTGGGATTATAGCTTTCCTTCTTTCCTTCTTCACACCTCCTTGATTATTCCTTTAAATTGTCTTCTGTTACATGGACTCCTACATTGCAAGTAGACCCACTCTGATAAGACCACCCTTATGCTCAGAGGCCTAGAAGGTACCCCTTCCTTTCAGAAAACCTTGTGGTCAACAGAATTATTTTTCATTATTTAGTGAGTGGCCTTCCGGGGCAGGCTAGAATGCCACTTTTAAAATTGTTTGTATTCAAGCAAGGGAGGTATCTCCAGGAAACTTATGTTTTCTATATTGTAAAGACCATTAAGAAAAAGCAAATATACATATACTGGGATAATGTTGCAGGATCCAATCTGGGTCAATCACGGGGACCCAGAGGTTCGGTCTTCCGAGCTTTTGGACTCGGTGCTGGGCCCCATCCTCAGCATACTTCTCTCTCTTCAATTTGCTCTCTTCCAGCACAAGTCCAAAAGCTCGGAAGACCGAAACTCTGGGTCCCCGTGATTGACCCAGATTGGATCCTGCATCATTAAGAGAGCCATTTAGATAAGTAGTGATGAAGACAACAGGCTAGAAACTGGGAAAATGGGAATTTTAGTCCTGCCTTAGGCAAAAAGCCAGCTTGGGCCAGTCACTTCTTTTTAGCCCTAGGAAGGAGACAAGGGCAAACTACTTTTGAAGAAGCTACCGGGAGTCAACAATGCCTCAAGGGCACCCCTTCTGTGCCGAAAAGGATTATTAAGAATTGTGGTCAAAGTGCAGTCTCTCACAAGCCACAACCTCTATTCTGGGTGACTGTATGGTACATCTGGTTTTCAGCTCTGATGGTCCCATGCAAGCTCTGACCACCCCTCCTTATTCTCCAGATCCAGAGGAATCCCACTAGTCCTGCCATCACAGAAAGAGGGGTTATGGATCCCTTCCCAGTTTGGATTGCAAGACCAAAGCCAGCCAGGTAAATGTTGCCCCCTAGGAAACAAACCGTAGTTTTGACACTGTAGGAGTGAATGGCATCGTTTTAATAGGAAAAGCCAACATAGATTGAGGTGGGACTTCATTTGCTCATGCATTCAGCTGACTTCAGCCATTGGGGCTTTCAGAACTACCGTGATCAGTAAAGCCCCGCCTTGTGTTTTGATTTAAGGTGAGTGTGAAAACTATTATAGATCTCATAACAATATGAGAAAAGGCTACAAGCAAAGAACAACAAGGGCACTCTGGTTAACACATCACCTGCTTAACTCAGAGCATTTACAAGAAACAATAAACCTGCTGAAATTCTAGCTGGCTAGTTGTGTTTACTTGGCAGAAAAAAGGAAACCAAGGCAGCTTGTTTTCTTGAGAAGTCCATAATTTATTTTTATTTTATTTTATTTTATTTGGGGGGGGGATTTTTTTATTTTTTTTAGCTAAGGTGATTTTTCAATGGCAGCATTTCAGATCACTCACACAGAGCATAAAGGAAAGGGAAGTTTGCTTTCTTCTTGAAGTATTCGTACTTGGGAATGTAACTAATCTCCACAAACATGGCCACTTCTTTCTTCACAGACTCTTGAGCTTTGGGCTGTTCCATGGTAAGGAGGGATATAGTTACCTTTTCCCTCCATTGAAAGTCTTTGTTAAGCATACAAATATGTATTTTTGTTGGCCTTAAAATAAAACCTGGCTGTTCTCCCAGATGAGGGTTGTTAGAGTTCCTTGTTGTGTGTCTTTGTATACAATTTTCTGTTGTTAACTGGATTCATCATCTTGGTTTTTTTATCTAACTTGTTGTTTTTTTCAAGCTTGTTTGTTGCACTGTGAGACACCCAGAGTCATTCTGGAGTTGAGTATTGCCTAAATGAAATCAATCAATAAATAATTCTTGAGAATTCAATGTACACATTTATTTTCTGTATTTATTGTTATATTTATACCCTACCTTTATTTTCTGCAACTCAAGGGGGCATATATCAGTGGTCACCAACCGGTGGGCCGCGGCCTACTGATGTGAACAACACAAGGTAGTGAGGGGAGGGGGGAAAGGGGGAGGGGAGGAACTTGCTCCACGCACCCCACACGCCTCACCTGGGCAACGGGCTGCTTCCTTCCGCTTCTTTCTTCTTCTGCTTTTGGCTAAACACAAGGAAAGCAGCAAAAATCTTTCTTTCTCTCCCCCAATCTCCACCAGAAATGAGTTTTGGGACCCTGCGAGGCATCCTGCTCCAATAGGCTGCGCCAGCATGACAAGTCCCACAAAGACTCATTTCTGGCAGAGTTTGGGGGAGAGAAAGAAAGACTTCTGCTGCTTCTGCTGCTTTCCTTGCATGAAGCCAAAAGTCTCTCACTCTCTCTCCCTGAGAACGGAGCTGGAGATGGTAAAGAATGATCGATCGGTAGGAAAACGGGGTGAGGGATTTTCCTGCAGACATTTTTGGGGATTTTCCCAGGGTCTCTACAGATCAATCGTTCTTTATTTGGGATCACAGAATACCATCTCTCTCTCTCTCTCTCTCTCCCCCTGAGAATGGAGCTGAAAAGCAGATTAGGAATGTGGCTGCCTTGGAGCGGGTGTGGGGGTGTGAGGGACCTGTGTGTGTGTGTGTGAGAGAGAGAGAGGGGTGGGGTGGGGTGGGGGAACATAACATCCAGCCCTCCAAGGTTAGATTGGACCTCTCTCTCTCTTACCAACGTCAGAAAGCCACCATAGGTCAAAAATCATATTAGTGGTCTGTGGGATTGAAAATTATGAGTTTGGTGGTCCCTGAGATTCAAAAGGTTGGTGACTCCTGGCATATATAATGCTCCCCACCCCATTTCTCCCACAAGGGAAGGAGGGGGAGGGGGAGGGAGAGAGAGAGAGAGAGAGAGAGAGATTTGGGATCAAAGTCATTCAGCAGGTTTTGATCCTTAAGAGAGGATTAGAACTCATGATCTCCTGAGTTTTAGTCCAGCATTTTAACTACTATGGCACATTGGCTCTCTCATGGTCAGACACTGCTTCTAAAAACAAATTCCACCTTTGAAATGATACCATTGGAAACAGTTTTCCCATTTAAAAGGCAAATATGGTTATGATTAACTTGTAACATGAAACCCACATGTATTCCTTAATTTCTACATAACACATATACAGGCTGTCCTCAACTTACAACTTGTCAACTTGTCCTCAACTTTAGTGACTTGTCAAAGATACAATGGCACTGAAAAAGTGACTTATGACCGTTTTTCACATTTACAACCATTGCAGCATCCCCATGTGATCAAAATTCAGATTCTTGGCAACTGACTCATATTTATGACAGTTGCAGTGTCCAGGGTCATGTGCTCACCTTTTGCGTCCTTCTGACAAGCAAAGTCAATGGGGAAGCTGAATTCACTTAATAACCATGTTACTAATTTAACAACTGCGGTGATTCACTTAACAACTGTGGCAAGAAAGGTTGTAAAACGAGGCAAAACTCACTGAACAAATGTCTCATTTAAGAACAGAAATTTTGGGCTCAGTTGTGGTTGTAAGTCTAGGACTAACGGTATGTCCCTGAATTAGGAGTTTAGAGAAGCTGAGAACAATCAGCATTTTTAAAGAAATTGTTTGCAAAATGCTTTGCTGCACATAGAATTATTCATACATGTTGGGTATATGGATACACCAACCAGGTTTGGGTTGAATAAATAT